ATTGTGGCAAAAAACAATACACCGCCACATTTTGGTCCTTCCATGGGTAGGCTACCTGGTGAAAGAAAATTTGTTTGCCTGTTACCAAATATGTATTTTTCTTTCCCCCGACAAAGTCCACAGGGGTTCATCGAACAGATGGTATTCCACTTTTTGTTTCTCAAAAGATGGGGACTGGGAACAAATCGTCACCTTTCTGCCAATCCCAATGCGGTCAGGGGGGGTTCTGGATATTGAAAAGTGGTTTTGGGTTTCCAGGTTGTGGTTGTTGGGGGGGGTGTGGGGTTTTGGGGAGGCTGGGTGGTTGTGCAAGTCGCTGTCGTAGTAGCATGGCCCACTGCTGGGGCCCGTGACCATGCCACCCCCAATATCACCATCAGCCTGCTGCCCACTCAATCATCAAACCCCTTTGTAAAAATTCGTCGGTTCGCTATAGGGCATTGTGTAGGGCCATGGGATGTGCTCCGAATTTTCTCCTTGCCCCTTGGAACAAATATGGCACACTACCCCCGCAACGACTTGTAAATTTTCTGCCCTTTTACGGGGGAAAATTTCCCCCACTGCGCAAAAGAACTGTTTCAAAAGTTTGAAATCACATCACTTTCACGCCACATCTAGTCTCGTCACGGGGAAATAGTTTCCTCTTTCGTCCTGGTACGGGAACATAAATAGCCGGCCCCCGCCCCCGAGGGGGAAGGTTGTGGTCACTGGGTTTTCTCACTAATTTCTTATCCTTGGCATGTTTTCAGTCACACCCGCTTGAAAACCAAAGAATTTTACTTTCATGACATTTCATCGGTTAGAGCTACACTTGGGAACAAAAGACCTCCAATCCCCCGAGGAGTGAGGAATTCTTAACGCAAAGGGATGGTGAAAATGGACTACCAAATGTGTTCACAAAAAGCACCCCTGAGTCCCAGATTTTTTTTACAGGGTGCACACCCCCACTTTAACCCCTTTTCTCCAGTAGGCCTACCAACCCCCCCCTCCCCCCTTTATTTGAAGCCTCAAATTTATGAGTATACATGGACCCCCGCATACGAAAAACCTTGCATGCGAACAATCCGCATAGCGAAAGTTTGATCCTAAAATTTTTTCCCCCATAGTAGACAAAAACCCGCTCCGAACTTCGTCCCAACGCGTCCAATGTGGGCCCCGGGCCAGCCTCACATTGGCCCCCGGGCCATTGTTTACCACAGCCTCCCCGGAACATTCAAGGGATACACTCGGAAAATTTCGTATTTTACATGTTTTCGGGTTTGTTTGTTAAAAAAATGACCATGGGCCCCAAGAAAGCTTTAGTGCCAACCCTGGGAAAAAGGGGAGAATTAGTATGGAAATTAAGAAAAATTTTGAAGGGGTTTGGGGCTAACCTGAGAAGCCTATGCCAGTTGTGGAATCCATTGTGCCTACTTCAAAAATTAAGGAAATGTGTGCACAGTGGGTTGAACTGCAAACCTTTATGGATGAAAATCACCCTGACACAGCTGTTGCAAGGCGTGCTGGTGACTATTTCAATGACAATGTTATGGCCCATTTTAGACAAATCGTAAAGGAACGGGAGGTACAGAGCTCTATGGACAGAAAGAAGTCCAGTGACTCTCAAGCTGGTCCTAGTGGCATTAAAAGAAGAAGGGAAGTAACCCCGGAAAAGGACTTGCCTCCTCAAGTGTTAATGGAAGGGGATTCCCCTTCTAAACACTAACACTCTCTCTCCCCTCCTCCCATCCCATCAATCATCACCAGATCTTCAATAAAAGTAAGTGTCATGTAATTGTGCATGCCTTTTTCAGTTTGTGTGTACTAAAATTAACATTTTTTTGTGGTAAAAAATTTTTTTTTTCATACTTTTGGGTGTCTTGCACGGATTAATTTTATTTCCATTATTTCTTATGGGGAAAATTAATTCGCATAGCGAACATTTCGCATAACGACCAGCCCTCTTGCACGGATTAAGTTCGCTATGCGGGGGTCCACTGTACATATGTCAAACACGGTATCTCGTAAGACGTATATATACAACCGAAACAGTCAAGGGGTTAAATATAATCAGTCATCGTTTATTTTTATGACATCACAAATACAGTAGAGCCCCACTTATACGGCAGGTTAGGTTCCTGGCTACCGCCGTACACATTAAAATTCTATAGTGTTTCTCACCTTTACCAAAGGGCTGGCACCAGAAGCTTTCTTTTGGCCCATGGTGGCTTATTTAGCAGTTGCAAGCACAAAAAAAAATGGAATATTACGAAATGTATCGTATGAACGCATGAGGTGACTTTCACTCGCTGATAAACAATGGCAGACTGACTGTGAATGGTGTGGGATGGTGTGTGGGGCCGCTCGTATGCACTTGGGATGAACAACTATTACCGAGGTAAATGACGATCACCGATCCAATATTTTGACAAAAAAAAAACTTTACGATTACCGAATACAGTGGACCCCCGCATACCGATTTTAATCCGTGCAAGAGGGGTAATTGTTATGCGAAATAATCGGTATGTGAATGAATTTTCCCCATAAGAAATAATGGAAATAAAATTAATCCGTGCAAGACACCCAAAAGTATGAAAAAACAATTTTTTTTACCACATGAAATGTTAATTTTAGTACGCACAAACTGAAAAAGGCATGCACAATTACATGACACTTACTTTTATTGAAGATCTGGTGATGATTGATGGGATGGGAGGAGGGGAGAGAGAGTGTTAGTGTTTAGAACGGGAATCCCCTTCCATTAAGACTTGAGGTGTCGAGTCCTTTTCTGGGGTTACTTCCCTTCTTCTTTTAATGCCACTAGGACCAGCTTCAGAGTCACTGGACTTCTTTCGCACAACATATCTGTCCATAGTGGCCTGTACCTCTCGTTCCTTTATGACTTCCCTAAAGTGTTTCACAACATTGTCAGTGTAATAATCACCAGCACGGCTTGCAATAGCTGTGTGAGGGTGATTTTCATCAAAAAAGGTTTGCACTTCAAGCCACTTTGCACACATTTCCTTAATCTTTGTAGTAGGCAACTTCTTCAATTTCTCTCTCCCCTCCTCTGAACCAGTTTTCTCAGGTCTGGCCTCTTGCTGTTGAAGTTGATCTATCAGCTCATCAGTGGTTAGTTCTTCATTGTCCTCCTCCACCAACTCTTCCACATCCTCCCCACTAACCTCCAACCCCAAGGACTTTCCCAATGCCACAATGGATTCCTCAACTGGCATAATCCTCTCAGGGTTAGCCTCAAACCCTTCAAAATCCCTTTTGTCTACACATTCTGGCCACAGTTTCTTCCAAGCAGAGTTCAAGGTCTTCTTAGTCACTCCCTCCCAAGCCTTACCTATAAGGTTTACACAATTGAGGATATTAAAGTGCTCTCTCCAAAACTCTCTTAGAGTCAGTTGAGTTTCTGAGGTCACTACAAAGCACCTTTCAAACAGAGCTTTTGTGTACAGTTTTTTGAAGTTTGCAATAACCTGCTGGTCCATGGGCTGCAGGAGAGGAGTGGTATTAGGAGGCAAAAACTTCACCTTAATGAAGCTCATGTCCCCATAAAGTCGCTCTGCCACGTCTGTAGGATGACCAGGGGCATTGTCTAACACCAGGAGGCACTTAAGTTCTAATTTCTTTTCAGTTAGGTAATCTTTCACATTGGGGGCAAATGCATGGTGTAACCAGTTATAGAAAAAGTCCCTAGTGACCCATGCCTTACTGTTTGCCCTCCACAGCACACACAAATTATCCTTGAGGACATTCTTTTGCCTGAACGCTCTGGGAGTTTCAGAGTGATACACTAATAAAGGCTTAACTTTGCAATCACCACTAGCATTGGAACACATCAACAAAGTAAGCCTGTCTTTCATAGGCTTATGTCCTGGGAGTGCCTTTTCCTCCTGAGTAATGTAGGTCCTGCTTGGCATTTTCTTCCAAAACAGGCCTGTTTCATCACAATTAAACACTTGTTCAGGTTTCAGTCCTTCAGTCTCTATGTACTCCTTGAATTCATGCACATATTTTTCAGCCGCTTTGTGGTCCGAACTGGCAGCCTCACCATGCCTTATCACACTATGTATGCCACTACGCTTCTTAAATCTCTCAAACCAACCTTTGCTGGCCTTAAATTCACTCACATCAGCACTAGTTGCAGGCATTTTTTTAATTAAATCCTGATGCAACTTCCTAGCCTTTTCGCTTATGATCGCTTGAGAGATGCTATCTCCTGCTAGCTGTTTTTCATTTATCCACACCAATAAGAGTCTCTCAACATCTTCCATCACTTGCGATCTTTGTTTCGAAAACACAGTTAAACCTTTGGCAAGAACAGCTTCCTTGATTGCCTTTCTGGTGCCCACAATAGTAGCGATGGTTGATTGGGGTTTCTTGTACAACCTGACCAGGTTGGCGATACGCACTCCACTTTCATACTTATCAATGATCTCTTTCTTCATTTCTATTGGAATTCTCACCCTTATTGGTGTAGGGTTGGCACTAGAAGCTTTCTTGGGGTCCATGGTCACTTATTTTCCAGAAACAGCACCGAAAACACTGTAATAATACGAAATATTCCGATTGTATGCTTGAATGTTACTGCGGAGGCTGGCTGGTAAACAATGGCACGGGCGGCACATGTGAGGCTGGCTGAGGGCGCACATTGGACGCATCTCGGACGAAAATCGGTGAGCGGGTTTTTAAGCGGTATGCGAGGCAAAATTTTTGCGATTAAAGCAAGCGGTATGCGGATTAATCGCTATGTGGTGCCATCGGTATGCGGGGGTCCACTGTATTACAAAATGCGATGGCTAGGATATCTGGGGTCCACTGTAGTTTGAGGTATGAAAATGCATGTCTGCATTATCATGGAGATGCTGCCTCCCCACTTACTTTTTTTGTATATCGTTTTAATGTGGGTCATCAGGCTCTTCAGCAAAATCCCCCCCCCCCCCCTTTTTTTTTTACTTAATTTGCAACTGTATTATTTGCATGTTATTTATGTAATTTATTTTTTACAGGGCATCATCGTTTTTGGGAAGGTAGCAGCAACAGTAGTGGTGTGCAGTTGGATGTAAGAAGCCCATTATTGAGTCCTGCCCAGTCAATGGGGTCCGTAACAGATAAAGAAGTAGAATTGCTTTTACTTAAGTCTTATGCACCTTCAAAATTCGTTAGGAATAAAAGTAAATATTCCAAAAAGTGCCCTGTCTCTCCAAATTTTGCTGCTGTTCCTGCTGATTTTCAGCCTCCAGTATTGAAAGATGATTCCAAGTGTGACAGTTTCTTTGAATTGCTTGGTAGCTTAGATTTAGACTCTCCAGCACATGTACGTTCTCTCACAAAGGAGTCTCCACCTCTGACCTCTAGTAATGATACTGGACTAGATATTGTAACAGCAGAACTTGAATCTTGGATGAAAGGTTTTGAATCCCCAACATTTAACAATGGGATAAATGAAATTGTGTGCACAGACAGTATAGGAGTGAAACCTTCTAGTACTGGACCTAACTCTAACAGAACTTTTAGAAAAAACATTTCAGAGTCAAGGATTTCAGAACAGCAGAAACTTATAATTCCCAGTCAGAGATCAGCTTTTTCTCAAATATCTCCAATGAAAGAAAAAAGTGGACTTAATGATAGTCTGGATTTCACCAGTGATTTGTTACCAAGTTCTCCATTGTTAGAAGTAAATGCAGATATTAAGAAAAAAGTAGCACAAAGTTATCAGGAAAATGATACAAAATCAACATCACTCACATGTCCACCAAATCATCCTGTGAATTATGATCTTTCCGTATTGTGTGATTCTCAGTTTTTATCACCTGCAGCTTCAGCTGCCAGTGATGATAGTGGTTATAATGAAGAAGACACTAACAAAGTTTCAGCTGTTGCATTACCACACTTGCAGGATGAGAATCATCTTTCATCCTGTTCTAAATCCAACCTTGAGTCTGTGCAAACTGTAGAGGCAAATGAAACTTCAAAATGTAAGTCAGTGTTGGCTTCATCTCATAATTTGAAAAGCATAATAGCAATGGATTTAGAATTGTCTGCTTGTCAAGCTCTACCTCATTTTAACATTCATCCAGCAATGGTAACCATTGAAAAATGTTTAGATTTAAATGAGCAAACAGGTGTAGAATCCGAATTATCTAGGTCTCAATTACCTGTTGATCAGTCTGCCATCACTAGTGAATTACCGCTGAGTAGAGTGGAGGGAGAGGTAAAGGCTGATAATGATTCTGAGGCCTTTTTTTTTGAAAATTCTCCTAGTTCATCTGGATCATTTAATGCAGATCTGGAATCTAATAACATTCATTCAGCCTCAAAAGATGATATAATGCCAAAAGCTAAAACTGGTGCTAACTTGATTATAGAACCTTCTCAAGCAGCAGTGATACAAGAACATTGTGATTCTTCTAGTCAGTTTGGGTCTTCTTTATTATCTGATATAGCAGAGAATGTTGAGAGTAAGGCATCATGTTCAGATCATTCTTCAGATACACTATCTTTCTGTTCAGTTACAAATATAAACCGGTATAATACAACTAACAGAGGCAGAAGACGAGGGAGAGGAAAGGGTAGGAAAAAGGGCAAAGCCCATCAATTTTTTAATGGATGTCGAAGGCTCAGTACAAACAACTTATTAGACTCTAGCATCAGAGTCTGTAATAATACTGTACCCATACTCAGAGGTAGGGGTCGGGGCCGTGGAAGGGCTTCAAACAGAGGCAGGGGACAGGACAGTTTAAATAACACCCAAGAGTTGTCAAAATCACAACCAAACAGATCAAAACTTCCATCTGTAATGCTGCCTCGCCAGACAAGGCAACGTACCGGCACCATTGAAGTTCAGGCACCAACTGTCCCAAGAGGACGCTTCTGTGACCAGTTAATAACTGAAGACAGTTATGATGGCAATATTCGACGAAGTCTTTCAACCCTTCTTCAAGGCCCAAGCTTGCAGATACCTGATCAAAGAAGTAATCATCATAATAGGAAGTGAGTATAAAAGTGCAACATAGTGAGTGTGTGCTTCATACCAGGGATTGTACATTTTACCATTTTATTTAATAGCTTCTTTATATATCTCGTGTATTTTCTGAAGTGGATTATACTGGAAAATTGCAAAAAAAATTGTGGTGCCATTTTTCTTTTTTTTTAATGTCTGCAATGTTTAACATATTTTCTTCTGTTTAGTTTAACCAACTTGAGCTTCCGAAGCCTTCTGAGTGGTGAGTAAAAGTTTTAACGTGAATTTAGTAGGTATGTATGTTTAATTTCCTTATAAATGTGAATATAATCCTAATGTGAAACTTTTCGTTGTAGTAATAAAATGGGGACATTCAAGTCTTGAATATGTGCAAGTAATAAAGAGGTTCTTCTATTCTGGCTTTCAGTTGTAATGAGAATCAGGGGCCCTTGATAATTTTTTAAAGATTTTTTACCTTTGGGTCATTCTGCCAAGGCAAGGTGACCCATACAGGGGAAAATATTCACCATCATACATTCAATGTTAGTAGAAATTTATACTGCTATAAAATTCTTTCTTAAAACAGAATTCACCCTTATGTCATACCACTGCAGTTTATCATAATGTCATATATCTTAGCTTCTTCCATAAAAAAATTATGCATAAATAACCTACAATAGGAGAATGAAACTCATGTCATTTCGGTCCGACTTGGACCGTTAGCTAGTCACAAGTCAACCCTTTAACCCTTTGACTGTCGCAGCCGTATATATACGTCTTACGAGGTACTGTGTTTGACATATATATACTCGTAAATTCTAGCGGCTTCAAATCAAGCAGGAGAAAGCTGGTAGGCCCACATGTGAGAGAATGGGTCTGTGTGGTCAGTGTGCACCATATAAAAAAAATCCTGCAGCACGCAGTGCATAATGAGAAAAAAAAAACGACCGTTTTTGTTAATTAAAATGCCAACTTTGTGGTCTATTTTCGTTTAGTATTTATGGTTGTATTCTCGTTTTCTTGGTCTCATTTGATAGAATGGAAAACATATTATAGAAGTAGAGGTGATTTTGATTGGTTTTACTATAAAAAGAACCTGGAAATGGAGCTCAAAGTAGGGGAAATGTTTGATTTTTGCCAATGTTCAAAAGTAAACAAATGATGTCATTGTCCAATAAATGTCCAACTAGCCATTCTAATATGCAGTCATGAATGGGTTGATGTTATTTATACATTTATTACAGTATTCCAGTAGTCTGCATAATAGTAAGTCTTCTATTTTTTGTTTGAATAAAAATTCAAAATAGAAAGCAAGAGTAATATCAGAGGGGCCTGGAGACATGACTGATGAACAAAGAAAATGTTATTTTAGAGCCAGGAATGTCTGCATTGTTCATTCTGGACCTTATTTTGAAATTGTTATATTTTTTAATTTTCTTGAAAATGGCCAAATTGCAAATTTCTGACCACATTATTGGGTAGTTGAAATCGGTAAATGGGCAGTTTCTTGTACTCAATCGATAGAAAAAATGGAGTTCTAAAGAAATAGCTATGAGTTCGGTCGACTGGAACAACGGAATTAGCTGAAAATAGGGCTCAAAGTGGGCGAAATCGCCGATTTGTAAATATCGCCGAGGCCGCTAACTTCGCGAGAGCATAATTCTGTCAGTTTTTCATCAGATTTCGTTTTTTTTTTTTTTTGGTGTCATTACAATCGGGAAAAGATTCTCTATCATTTCATAAGAAAAAAATAATTTTTTTTTTTTTTTTTTTTTTGAAATTTTGCGACACCAGGAGACACCTCAGGATTGGGGGTTGCGACAGTCAAAGGGTTAACTGTGTCTGATGTCCTAGTATGCAGTTTCTGGTACTGTGTCCAACGTACTGGTACACACCGTTTTTATACCTGCAAATTTGCCACCTGCCAACATTTTTTACCTTGACAACACTTTGGGGTCTTCTTCGATCTGTTCATACATTCGAAAAAATCTAAGGCCAGCAGTGTATCATGGTTAACTACTCGGGATGACCATATGTCCTGTGTACTAGTACGCCTCACTAGCAAAAGTAAACAAAGTAACCAGGCATGAAGGGTAGGGTATGGCACGGGTTTCATGCCGCATCTGCACTACTTGTGGTACTGAGGTCCTCTTGGGCCAGGAGGGAGATTTATGGCTCTTTCATTCCTCCTAGTAGCTATTCCTCCATGTTCCCCCCCTTTTTTTTATTCTTTTTTTTTTTCTTCCCTTTCCTTATTTTTTCTAAAAAAAAACAAAAAGAAAGAAGTAACCTAACCATGGAGTTCCCAGTCCATGAACCTGCTCCCCCCTGGGCCCCTTCCTGATACCGCACCCTGTTCTGACCCTGCCTCGTTATTTGACCACTCTTCGGTCATTTCTAGCGCCCCTGTACCTCCTGCTGGTGCCGTTTCGACACCTGCTCCAGATTCCGGGGTTTTGACTGACTCCTCCGATACATCTGACCTCCACTTTTCTTTGACTATACTTCGGGCTGCTTCCTCTACAGTATTGCGATTTTCAGATTGCCTGCCATCCCACATCAGACCAACTCTGGTCCCACACCTAAACACCCAAGACCTTTACCTGATGATACTACTTTGCTTCCTTCTCATTCTACTCAGAAAAGACCAGCACATCACGCAATCCCTTTACACACTATGTTTCAAAATACACGATGGACTAAGTTTTTTACTCTACGACTGACTTCCTCTACAGCTTAGCTTTCCGACCATAGTATTGGCAAGGCACTCCTTTGCCATGTTGGTAGAGATATATCCTTTCATGCTCTCAAGAGTGGTACATGCATCATCACTGTCCAGGATGCTGACCAAGCTCACGATCCTTCTCTCCTTACAGCTATCGATACTATTCTTGTAACTATTGAAAATCATCATCCTCTCCATTCTTGTAGTGGTACTGTCATTCTACCCCATAACATTGTCCAACAGAATTTCCAGACATGTGGCGATGATATTCTGGAACAGCTAGAACTCAAAGACCTCCAAATCCTCAAAGTAGATACTTATGTTCTCCCTGCCTGCAGGAGACGATACCCTTGCAATGTAGCTTGCTTAACGTTTGACTCCCATGAGCCTCCATCCTTTGTATATATAGCGGGACACTGTTTACAAATTCGAAAGGTGATCCCTACACCACAACAGTGTAGAAATTGTTGGCATTTTGGTCATCCAGCAAAATATTGCAGGTCTATCGCCAGATGCACAGTCTGTGAGGCCGACAACCGTTTAGTTATAGGTAATACATATTTTAAGAAAAAGAGGATAAATAAGTATGCAAGATATAATGTAGGGCATAATGACAGTAGTTTGTTGGACTATGTACTGGTAGATAAAAGACTGTTGAGTAGACTTAAGGATGTACATGTTTATAGAGGGGCCACAGACATATCAGATCAATTTTTAGTTGTAGCTACAGTGAGAGTAAAAGGTTGATGGGATACAAAGAAAATAGAAGCATCAAGTAAGAGAGAGGTGAAGGTTTATAAACTAAAAGAGAAGGAAGTTAGGGTAAGATATAAACAAACATCTATTGGAGGATAGATGGGCTAGTGAGAGTATAGGCAATGGGGTCAAAGATGTGTGGGGTAGGTTTAAAAATGTAGTGTTAGTGTTCAGCAGAAGTTTGTGGTTACAGGAAAGTGGGTGCAAGAGGGAAGAAAAGCGATTTGTGGAATGATGGTGTAAAGAGAGTAGTAAGGGAGAAAAAGTTAGCATATGGAAGGTTTTTACAAAGTAGAAGTGATGCAAGGAGGGAAGAGTATATGGAGAGAAAAAGAGAGGTTAAGATAGTGGTGAAGTAGTGTAAAAAGAGATCAAATGAGAGAGTGGGTGAGATGTTTTCAACAAATTTTGTTGAAAATAAGAAAAAAGTTTTGGAGTGAGATTAACAAGTTGAGGAAGCCTAGGGAACAAATGGATTTGTCATTTAAAAATAGGACAGGAGAGTTATTAAATGGAGAGTTAGAGGTTTTGAGAAGATGGAGCAAATATTTTGAGGAATTGTTAAATGTTGAAGAAGATAGGGAAGCTGTGATTTCGTGTATAGGGCAAGGAGGAATAACATCTTATAGGAGTGAGGAAGAGCCAGTTGTGAGTGTGGGGGAAGTTCGTGAGGCAGTGAGTAGAATGAAGGGGGTAAGGCAGCTGGGATTGATGGGATGAAGATAGAAATGTTAAAAGCATGTGGGGATATAGTTTTGGAGTGGTTGGTGCTATTATTTAATGAATGTATGGAAGAGGGTAAGGTACCTAGGGATTGGCAGAGAGCATGCATAGTTCCTTTGTATAAAGGCAAAGGGGACAAAAGAGTGCAAAAATTATAGGAGGATAAGTCTGTTGAGTATACTTGGTAAAGTGTATGGTAGTTGTTATTGAAAGAATTATGAGTAAGACAAAGAGTAGGATAGCAGATGAAAAAGGAGGCTTTAGGAAAAGTAGGGGGTGTGTAGACCAAGTGTGTACAGTGAAACATATAGGTGAACAGTATTTAGATAAGGCTAAAGAGTAAAGAGGTTTTTGTGGCATTTATGGATTTAGAAAAGGTGTATGACAGGGTGGATATGGGGGGGGGGGCAATGTGGCAAATGTTGCAGGTGTATGGTATAGGAAGTAGGTTACTGAAAGCAGTGAAGAGTTTTTACAAGGATAATGAGGCTCAGGTTAGAGTATGTAGGAGAAGGGAGATTATTTCCCAGTAAAAGTAGACCTTAGACAAGGATGTGTGATGCCACCGTGGTTGTTCAATACATATATTTATAGATGAGGTTGTAAGAGAAGTGAATGCAAGGGTCTTGGCAAGACATGTGGAGTTAAAAGATAAAGAATCTAACACAAAGTGGGAGTTATAACAGTTGCTTTTTGCTGATGGCACTGTGCTCTTGGGAGATTCTGAATAGAAGTTGCAGAGGCTGGTGGATGAATTTGGTAGGGTATGTAAAAGAAGAATATTATAAGTGAATATAGGAAAGAGTAAGGTTATGAGGATAAAAAGATTAGGTGATGAAAGATTGGATATCAGATTGGAAGGAGAGTATGGAAGAGGTGAATGTATTCAGATATTTGAGAGTGGACCTGTCAGCAGATGGGTCTATGAAAGATGAGGTGAATCATAGAATTGATGAGGGGAAAAGGGCGAGTGGTGCACTTAGGAGTTTGTGGAGACAAAGAACTTTGTCCTTGGAAGCAAAGAGGGGAATGTATGAGAGGATAGTTTTACCAACACT